GGTTCCACCTTTTGGCATTCCTTCCACTGTAAATAGGAGTCACCTCTCACAATAGGTGCATTTGACGGTCAGAAAGTTGATGGTCCTACAGGAACGATGACTCAAGTGACACGTGCTGTCACAGCAAAAGCACCTTGCTATAGGATGTGCCAGGCACTGATGACCCTCTCCAGGTCTGCCTGTAGTGACTGTTTATAGATTGATCATAAACTCCATGTCCTAAAGCCATGGGGTCAGGAAAGAATCGAGCTGATCTTCCCCCGTATCAACCAAGTCATTTCAGATGGAGGACAGCTGGTCTCCTGCATCGAAGCAGTGTGACATGGAGGAACGCCATGAACCTATGCAGGCAGCCCAGGATTTAGAGTGGATCTCGTGGAAAAGCTCGGAGGGAGAACAGGCTGCTCTGGACTGATGGGGGCAGAGAACAATAGCTTCAGTTTAGAGAAATATTCCACCGCCCAGTCATCCACACCCTCCCAAGACACATACCGTTATCCCTACTTTACAGGTCAAAGAATGTGATGTGCTAAAACCACACAGCAAGGAAGGACAATACACAGTTGGGTTACAAGCCCCTTTAACTCTGATGCCCATGTTCTCTCTACAATATTATGTTATAAAATGTGATGAAAATAGCGAGGTCATCGATGTATGTGAATGTGCTCAGCACCAATGCTACAAAACAAGGTTGATCCCCATTATTCCTGGATTCCATATTTGCAAGTTTATCTGTAATGCCAAAGTCAATAGTCACGGTCACTTGAGGACATGCGCAGAGCCGTGAAAGATTTCAGTTTCTGGATGTGCACGTTCCCTGCTGAAGTTGAGGCGATGCCTGCCTCCTTGTTTCAGATCATTCTGTAAACAAGGGTTCTTTTCACAGTCTGTGTAGTGCTGCATTTCCACATCTTTGTGCTATTTTTTGGTGATTCCACTGTTTGAAACAGCCCCGAATGTAGCACTGTCTAGTGTTCCTATGAGCAAGAAGGCTGGGCTGTGCCTTTCAGAGAAAATACATGTGTTAGAAAAGCCTGGTTCAGACGTGAATTATAGCGCTGTAGGCGTGAGTTCCGTGTTAATGAACTGACAATATATTAAATAACATGCCTTTAACAGAAGACATAGCATGAGGGTGCGTGTTGACTAGCTGATGGAAGCCTGACCAGAGGCTCGCAGGAACTAGGCTGTGTTTCATCAGAGCACGGCGTTCCCTAAACCGGTGCTCGTGGGGTGGGGATGGAGCGTCACCCCGCAAACAATGGGATGGGACCACTGTATGTTTTGGGTGATTAATGGTTTAATCTGAATAAGGATCTGAAAGTCAATGAACAAAATTAGTCTCTTTTCCCAAGCGAAACCTGGCTATTCCCTGGTAACCTGATGTTCATCTTTCTTTGCGTCTGCTTCAGGAGTTTCCTAATCTAAACCCCAATTCTTTGTATCAGTAGGGTTGGTATATCCTGCTCTGCAGGACAGACTCCAGTCGTTTATCAATAAGTGACTTTCTGAAAAAGAAAAAAAAAGAGGGACTTGTCTTTTCCCTACAAGCTCTGCTAGATGCTATGTTTGCTTCTCAGAGACTCTGTTTTGTTTTTATTTCCTCCTTAAACAGAAATTCCCCTTTCTATGCCAGCATCATGCACATGGGGCTTACACAGTTTTCCCCAAATTTATGGAGGACTGGATTGGTGACCAAGATGGTGAGGACAGCCAAGGCCACAGGGTCTTAGGAGGAAGACGGTAGAAATGACTGGGACCTTACTCCCACCCCGGTAGCCTCATTCAGACCCTACACTGCCTTAGGCTTTTGGGCATGGGGAGCCCCTCTTATCAATTAGGGAAGGTTGGGACAGTTTGGGTGTGGGGAGCCCTTCTCATCCATTACCGAAGGGTGGGTGTCCTCCTGGTGTGTAAGTTCCCAGCTGCCAGCCCAGGGCCAGCCCTGTGTGCAGGCTTTCTGGGGACGGCAGTCTCAGGCCTGCAGCGTTAACCTTTGCTGTGTGGGGCCTGGAGGAAGACTTTCTTGCCCCAAGTTAAGGTAAGACTGAAGAGTTGACAAGTGAGATCAGAAGCACATCCTAGGGGTTCTCCCCTCACCTACTCCATCACCAGCTGTCCATGCAGGAACAAGAGTCCTGTCTGTGTACCCACACCCAGCCCCTCCTGAGGGGCCTTGGCGCCAGGGCAGGACACGGGAAGGGTCTAGAGCATGCCCTCCCAGCAGGGCCGATATTGCCTCCAAGGGGAGTACACAGGCATGTGGGGGCAGTAATCCTGGATTTTATGACCGTCCGTCGCCCTGTGAGGAGCCACTGCACGGAAGCAGGGCATGGTGCATCTGTGGTACTGACATGTCGTGGTCAGAAACTATGAGGGAGTGAACATCTTTAACTTTCCGTTAGGGGATCAGTGAAGGAAGATGGGGAGCACCATCTCGGGGTGAGACCTGTGGAGAGAGTGAGCCACAGTGGGGCCTCGTCACCTGGGCTCGTGCGTTCGTGTGTTTATTCTGTGCATTCGGGCATCCAGATGTCCAGTGCCTGCAGGCAGGCTGCAGGAGGGCTCACGGTCCTGCCGGTTCTAGGCTCCCGAGAGAACACCTCTTTGCCTCTGTCTCTCCGTGGGAGGGAGCAGGGGTTCATGCAATGGTCTCTGTGCCCCAGAAGTCTTGATGTAGTTGGGTAGAAATGAGTTACACTCTTGAAATATGTCTATAAGAGCAGTGTGCTTGTGTCAAACCTTAGCACAGACAGTGAGTGAGGCCAAGGGTGGGCGCTGGGGCTGGGGTGGGATTCTGGGAGGAGGAAGGCTTTGAGGAGGGGAGGCCCTGGAAAGTCAGAGGTACTGGGTGGGATCATCATACCTTTGTGGCCCATGGCAGGGGGTAGGGGTGCGCAGTAGGACTGGCCACCTGCAGGGGGACCTCCACTTCCTGTGTCCCTGCTGGAGCCCTGTGCCAGGAAGGGTGGAATCAGGTTCTCTGTCCCTACGTCACCCCTGCATTTCCATCCCTCACCTGTCCTCCCACCTGTGTCGGACCCACCCTCCCTTCCAGTCCCTGTGGAGCTGGCTGAGGATCCTCCTCCACTTCCTTGCTCTCTGGTGTGACGTGGGGTCCAAGTGTGGGCTCTGAGCGCATTCCTATTCCATCTCTTTCCTCCACAACTGGCCTGGAGGTGCCAAGAGCTCCTGAGGCTGAGGGCTCTTGCTGAGCCAGTGAGAACTTTCAGGGCTACCATTTCCACCGAATCGAGGATTACCGTTTTCTGAGCACACCCAGGGCTTCTAGACTCAAGGAGGTGGTGGGTCTGGGTGTCCACCCACAAGGACCACAGATGCCGGCCCAGGGACTGGGAAGCTGCAGGGTCACATGACCTGCCTGTGACATCCTGTGTGTCGTCAGTGGTGGCCCTGTCAGTTCTGTGAAGTGCCCTGGTTCCATCTGTGGGGTTGGTCTAGGAAGGAGTCATCTGACCGTGTCTACTGTCTCTCCCAGAACGTCGGCCCCACAGCCTCGTGCCTCCAGGACTGTGCTGGGCAAAAAAAAGGGACCGGGCAAAGGCACGTGTGGTGTAGTGAACACAGCATTTCTGTAGTCTGCCACCCTACACCTCACAGGAGATTGCTGTGTATGTGTCTGCGTCCTCACCTCCTGCTCATTCACCTAGTGAATGCGTTCTAGAACAGGGCACTGTCCATGGGGATGTTCTGTGGGGACCGTGCTCGTGGTGCAATGCCACTGCTGCACCATTGGCAGAGCCTGCAGTAAACTTGCCTTAGCCAGTTCCTGCCTTCAGTGACTGGTATGACGGCAAGGTTCTAGGGCACGCCATTGGCTCAGAGTTCATTCTTTTTATTGCCCTTTAATACCTTGCATTTAAAAAGACTGGTCAAAACACTCTATACCCAAGGAATAGCTATGTTGGAGTCCTACAGATGATGGGCACCAGCTGGCATAGTGTAACCCCTGGGTCTGTTCCAGCTGGGCTTCCCACCCCTGTCCCTGGCACAGCAGGAACTGTTCTGGGCTGTTCAGCATGTTTCCTGTCACTTTCATGCTTTCTCTCTCACCATAAAGTCACTTATCTCATTCTGTGAATTTTAATTGAGCATCTCGTGTGCTGGCCCTGAGCCATGGAGTGGCCCCAGCACCAGACGTCTGAGCCGGCCCCAGGCTTCCACCTGCCTCCGGAGTCCCCTTCCACTAGTGGGTAAGGCAGACCACATCTGCTCCTGGGCCCACTTCCCATGGAATGTGGCAGCCCTAGAAGCCCAGGAGAGGAACTGCCGAAGTGCCTGCAGCTGGAGTCGCCATTCCTCAGGGATTTCAGAGCTCTCCCGCAGGCCCTCACCCCAGAGTACTGCGTGAGCAGGCTGGGGCAGGTGTGCGGACAGGCCCATCCGCTGACCCACCTTCTTGTGACTCTCTTGCCCCAAAGTGCTTCTTCCATTTGGAAGGGAGAATCACCTTCTGTGTGCTGCGTCCATCCACCTTGGTAGTGGGCATTTGCCAAGAGGGCAGGTAGGCGAGGCATTCCCTCAGCAATCGACCACGAAGTCCCTTTCTGCACAAATCTTGCCATTTCCTCATCCCTGTAGACAGAACAGAAGAGACAGGGTCACAGTTTGCAATAGGTAAAAATGCTTTATGGCTGAAGGCAATGCAATGGAAATTAAAAAATTAGTAGCAGAGGCACTGACATCCAAGAAAGGGAGTGATTCGTCTATAAATTTCAGGTGATATATTCGGCAGGTCGTTAAGGGAGATGGTGCATCTGGCATTGGGAGTCTTCTCCACGTCCTGCTTACCTTGACTGGAGAAAAATCCAGCAAATGAGGGGAGAAGCATTCAGCATGTTTGCCCTCATGCAGCCTGTAAAATCTCATGCTCGAAATTCCCAGAGACTATTCCTTAATACTGCATTAAGTGTATGCCTACATCTAACATACTGAATATTTTCCCAACACAATGAGGCAATCTTTCTTCTTCTTGTCAGCCTGTTTTTCCCTGGGCCTTCAGCCTGCACGTCCAGCCCTGTGTCCAACTTGAACATCTGGACCAAGATGCTGTCCGGAACGGAGAAACCTCCAACACCCAGAGTCCTTCAGGACACCCATGAAATGATCTCTCTCCACCCACTGTTTGCAGACACCTCCATGCTCAGCAGCAACACCGTTTATTGCAATATAGAGACAGACTCAATGTTAGCTCCAAGGATCACAAAGCAAAGAAGGAAAGAAGAAAATGAGTTGCACCTTGACCCCACTGTAGAGCTGTAGGTTCTTGCAGACTCTGTGTGTGGTGCTTCCCCTGTGTGAGGTTGAGTCACCCCTCAGCGTCCTCTTGTAAATGTTTATCAAATGCATCCTAGTTTAGTTTGGGGATATGACACTTCCTGACGGTGGGTCCACGGCAGGCCGCAGTCCCTGGGTCTCGCTGTGCTTGCTGAGATGTTTATTTGCAGAGCATCTCTACTCCAAGGCTGTGGCTGAAAGCTCAGGCTTCCGCGTGCTCCTGCCGTGGCGGGCCCTGTGCGTGCAGCTGGGCCGGCAGGACGAGGTGGTGTTTTGCAAAGGGGCAGCAGGGGTATGGGTGGTGGGGACACCCGTGGAGCTTCCTGGGATGAGGACTATGTCTCTGCTTCAGCCTCTGCACCCCTGCCCTCCTTTCCTCTTGTCCAGTACACTCCCCGGCAGTGGCGTCATCAGCAGGCATTGGTTTCACACAGTGATTTGCCATGGGAAAGGTAGGGCCCCTGGGCCAGAACATGCCTCCCCATTTTTCAGTTGAGTAAACTGAGGTCTAAGAGGTTAAAAGAATCAGCAGAGGTGACAAACAGTGACCCCAGATGTAGACTTGTAGTTGAGACCTCTCCGAAGAGACTTTCACATCATCACACGTCAAAGCAGGTGTTAGGGAAAGCGCGTGTCCACGTTCACATCCTGAGAAGTTATGCAGCGGGTCGGATTGCTACTCATCTCTCAATCTGCTCTGTAAAATGGGGTGATTCATCTCTCGCTGGATTCTGGTGAGCCCAAGAAGTAGCACGCGCCCAGTGCCTGGGCCAGTGCCAGGCAGCATGGGGGCTTCACACTTGCGGGTGTAGTAGGAGTCTTGGTGATGACAGAGCCAACACTCAGTGAGTGCTTGCCATCACTAGGCATGTTTTCCTGTCACTAGGTGCATTCCAGGTGCGTGTCCCTTAATGAGTAGGCGGCCACAAGTGGCATCCTGAAAGGAAGGAAGTCCATGTGCTCGTCTGCCTCTCCTGCGAGTCCAACAAGATGGGGTGGCAGATGAACCACAGTCTTATGACACAGGTGTGCTGGGCCTGTGAACTCTGAAAAACCAGGAAAGTCCATGTGGTCTTTAGAGAAAACTTTTGGCACCTGAGGGAAGATTTCGGTTTAGGGAATCCCCCTGCCAGGAACTCTTTAGATGTAGTTTAGATTAGAAATGTCACAGAAACTACATGTAACCTGAAGTCCTGTTGCTAACATCTGTCATTAGTGCTTTTTTGATGGCGGAGGAGTACTGCTCGTGTTAATAAGACCTTCTCAATTTTAGAAACAGTTGTGCTCAGATGCGTGATTCAGTCACAAATGTGAATCCAGCATCCACCGTGTGTGAAAGGCACTAGCAGGAAATGTCATGCGTGCCCTTGAAGAGCCAGTCATCCCCTTGGGAAGCTATGAATAATCTGTAAAATAATTAACGTGCAACTTAAGTACTAGATGTCAGGTGCACACCACACTTGCTGGAAGCTATTGGAGAAACGGAGGGTCTGCCGCTGTCAGGGTGCTCATGGGCGAAGCCAGAGCTGAGGGGGCTCTGAGAGACACGTGGAACCTAATTCTCACCATGGGGAGAGAAAACAGGTGGCAGGAAAGTCAAGTTGCGTGAAGGCAGAGAGGCAGGAATAACCATTGCTCCATGGCCCAGGAGAAGCCAACCTCTTCCGGTTGAAAGTGGTTTGGCCAGATCACTTCAGATGGAAGGGCCTGCAGAGATGACAGAGGGTGTTAAACTTGATGTTAGCAAAGAGTGCAGCCACTGCTCAGAGGGTCGGCGATGCGGTGGTTCCTAAGGACAGTTTCCTGGGTGCCACGTGCAGGACATGGGGCTGACTTGGCTCTGCCATGACATGAGTCAGGCTAGAACCGTCACAGTGGGGACTAAGAAGGGAGCATGGAAACGATGGTATTTTCAAGGAGTTTCAGCAGAACCTGGTGACTGGACATTTCTTGTACAAAGAAGCCAAAGGGAATGTCCATTGGCTGGAACCTCCTTGTTGCACAGAGCTGTGGACACGGTGGCAGGAGCTGGTTCAAGGACATCTCGTTGAGCTGATGCTAAGGCTTCTACGTAGAATATCCAATGACAATGGTGTTGGAATGATAATTACACTGACTTACAACGGCAGCATTTTACATTTACAAAGGGCTTGCACAGCGGGCCATCCTGCCAGGGAAATGAGCCAGAAACTCCCATGAGGAACAGGACCAGAAGCTGAGACCAAGGTGTCATGAGTGGAGATGACATCTGAATCCACGAAAACTCGTCAGGTTCAAAGGAAGAAGACTTGATCTGAAATCACGAAGACCAAGAAGCAGTAGGCTCAGCCCTGGATGAGTGAGTGTTGGGAAGGAAGGGAGGTGAGAAGTTAGATGCAAAGGAGCTGGCAGATTTTTGATATGGTAATTTCACTCCCACTAGCTATGTTGCTACTATTTTTGAGATAGTCATTTTAATTTTTATGTAACTCTTCTTGAGCATGGTCTCATTATTCAGTTGACTCTCACTCTTATGTACTTTTCTTTACATCGTTCTTCTTATTAGTGCCTTTTAAAGGTGATTTTATCATAAACACTGAAATGGGCAATAGGCAGATAGGAGGAATAGTGGGTGGGATAGGGCCCGGTCACAACATGCGGGAACTTTGGATCCTGCAGGTAAAGTAGGCAGCTTGGTGAGGGATCTGGAGAGGTGTAGGGTGGGCGTTGTCTGTGATTTACTAACTGGGTTTCTCTGGAGGGGACTGTTGAAAGCCCTTGGATCTTCAGTTTACTGATCATTAAAATGGCAGTGAAGGCACTTGATTTTCAGGAACACTGGAAGGATTAAACATAATATATGTGAGGCTCCTGCGCACAGGTGGAAGCTCCTGTACACACAGGTAGAAGCTTAACAAATGACAGAAGTGGTTGTTTTGCTCTTAATGGCATTATTATTGGTAGTTGAATCCGTGCATGTTGATCAGATTCTACGGCATGAGCAAGGAGAGCTCAGCCCCTGGACCGAGGGGAGGACGTGGAACCTAAGAGCCTGTCCACAGGGAGCGGTGGGATCCTCCAGTGACCCCCAGGAGAGCAGCTCTCCCGCCAGATGTGTCCTGACAGCTCTGGGCCCGCAGAGACCTCTGCTCTGCAGAGCAGTATCTGTCCTGGGGGCAAAGACAGCGTGTTGTGTGTGTGGCTGAGAACGTGCCACCTCCTCAAGAGCTGCTGTTCTCATTTCTTCTCTCTACATGACACCAGCTCTGGACTGAGTGCCTTCATGTACAGGAGGGAGAAATTTAAAAAATGGGAAATGGGGCGAGGGGGCTGGCCCAGTGGCCTAGTGGTTAAGTTCACACGCTCTGCTTCGGAGGCCTGTGGTTTGCTGGTTCAGATCCCGCACGCAGACCTGCACACTGCTCATCAAGCCATGCTGTGGAGGTGTCCCACATACAAAATAGAGGAAGATTGGCACAGATGTTAGCTCAGGGACACTGTTCCTCAAGCAAAAAGAGGAAGATTGGCAACAGATGTTAGCTCAGGGCCCATCTGCCTCACCAAAAAAAAAAAAAAAAAAAAGTAAAAATAAAAATGGGAAATGGGAAGGAATGATGTTTTTGAGAAGTGTCTGGACAGATGATGGAGCCAGGAGACTGAGGAACTAGGAGAGAAGTCCTGGAGAAGGTGATCCTGACTTCCTCCCCCTCCCCCTTCAGATGAATCAAATTATTTAAAAAATGATGTATTTTTCAAAATCGTGTTCAATATAGTATTTAAAAAGCTTTGAAAAACTTTGATAATTTCTGTCTGGCAATTCTTTGCCAGTTATTTTTATACTGAATAGTTCTTAACAACTTTGGTAAGATTTTCAAATGGTTCCTGTAGGGAGAATTTTAAAAACACCCATCTTTTTCCTTTCTGCTTTTGATTTGTTCTGCTCTCTTGGGAGCCAAATACTAAAATCTGTTTCCATAATGATTGTTGTTTTTCCCTTGCAAGAATATCTGCTTGTTATTGTTGGGTTATGGGGATTGATTTGAGTTTTTATAAGAACATTGTCGAGTGTGTGTGTGTTAGAAAAGCAGAGCCTGTCGATGGAATTATTGGAACATGGGAACAAATAGTCACGGTATCCAGGAAAACCAAAACCTGGCTGAGGTCACATGTGGAGCAAGGGTGGCCTTGGGTGTGCGTGTTCTGTAAACATATCAGTGTTTTCCTTGTAGCATTCAGAGAAGCATCACCGTCTGCTGAGTCTGGTCTGAACTTCTTCTCAATGATCTCTTCCAGTGTTGTGGGACCAGCAGTGACCTTCAAAGTGAGTGCCAACGTCCTGAACGTGACCACTGCGGAGGCTGTGGAGGCGGCAGGTAAGGCAACTTGAGACAAACACACAGGCACACGCACCCCAGGCAGGGGAGAGAAAGGCAAGAGGTTCAGGACAGCCTGGAAGGAGGTAGAGTCTCCCCAGGATCCCCATTTTTATGGGGGAGACAGAGAGGGGGTAGCAGGGTCAGTTCACGTGGCCAGGGCCTCACCATGGCTGTGAAACATGGCCAGGCTTCAGTGGGAGATGATGACCTCACGGTCTGTCTGAGACAAAAAGGCTGACGTTCGCAAGAGTGAGGTCTGCAGTGACCCCCATGTGGACAGAACAAATGTGGTTTTGCTTTGATGTTTTCCATTTTGTACCAGGCAAGAAGCACATACTGGCTTTACTTCTGTCCATCAGCGACCTAGACAGCACAGGAGGGAAGGTCTGAATAGAAACGGCCACTTACTTAGAGCTTGGCTTTTAGATCCCCAGCCCCCGTCACTCTTGCTCACACTCTGACACCTGTTGAGGGGTCTGTGTCGTGTGATTGGTGTTTGTCCCTGAATGAAAGACACAAAGCTTGACCAGCAGGGATGGGAAAGAACAGAATGTGGCGGTGGATACAAAGTTTGCATTTTCCTCAACTTCAAATTTCTGTTTTTAGCGTACTGAAAACTTTTGTAAAATGCTCTGTACAGTCTTTCTGCCTCCTAAGGACAATGCAGGCAGTAGAGCTGGACCTTGGCTTGCTGGTTCCATGACTTCGGTACGTCTCGGTGGTTAGGACTCTGTGTGTTGTTGCCATTTGTAAGAGACGTGGCTGGACGTGCGCTCACCAGACACAGCAGAGACAGCTCTGCGTTTGAGCCAATCCTGTGTGTTGCTAAATATATGAACTGGTTTCAATTGAATTTTACGTCTTTTTTCCCAATGTAAAATGCAGCCAGATATTCTGGTTGACTTAGAGATTAGAATATTTAGTTTTCGTTAATTAAGATGTCACTGTATTGGCATCCTATTAACTTAAAGTTTCTTTATCCAGTGATAGTAAACAAGGCGTGAAAATGGCTGTTCTCCCCTATTTAATGGGATAAACTATTGGTCTCATCTGTTTTGGTTGCTGCTGGCTTTTACTTGCAGGATATCTTGGTGCCCCTAGTAACTATTATTTGCTGAAAAGAGTGATTTTGGGGGCCAAGTATTTTTAGGTAGAGAATTCCTTGTGGAGTTGTACTGCACTCTAGAACTCTGACAGACTTAAGCTGCGGAGATTCAGATCTCCGGCTCCACAGCTGCCATGTTTCATGGTCAGGCATTCTGGACTGGGGGTGTAATGTGCAGAGTAGTAAAATGTCGTTACTGCAGCTGAGCGGCTCAATGTAGTCCTGGCACAGGAAGCCAGCAGATTTCATTCTAAACGCTCTGCCCCAGAAAAGGAGTGGAAGTTGTGTATTAATGGCTCCGACCCCTCCTGGTCACAAGCTCTCTCCTTCCCTCCACAGCATCCATTTTACAGTCCTAGTGCCCCAACATAAGAGATTATTGAACATATTTAAGACCAAATTGGTTACCAGTTTTAATGCAGAAATGCATTAACAATTGTTCCACAATTGGCAACTCATCCCAGTACTGGGAACCAATACTTTCAAAATTGGATTTCCTGGAACTTAAGGATGCTATGAATGGACTAAAGTGGAATGAAGTCTTTTTATCTTTTTGAAATCATGATAATGTGCTCACTGAGTCACTGACAATGGCCTTTCATTTATTTTATTGCTTTCTGGGAAAATGAGGTTGATTACTTGAAATCTAGTTTTGGGATCATTTTAAATGTGTTCATGTCATGTACTAAAGTGCTAGACCAAGGGGGAAATTACACATAAAATGTATGTTTGAGCATCATATCAACAACTTTTTAAATACCTGAATTTGCTAAATTGTACCAATGCACTTATATTCACCATCATAGCTGTGTGAGCCAGAGTGTTTCCTGCTTGTTGTATATGTGAGAAATGGATAACAGTTTAAAAAAATTAGTTCCTTTTATATTTTGAATAATTTTATGATGTTATGAATGTGCCTGATGCTGTACAGGGAAAACATTAGGAAGTTGTGGAGATGCCACCTCTCGCTGAGTGCAGAGTCCGCACGAGTGGCAGACCAGCTCCTGTTAACAAGGCAGAATTGTGAACCCAGAATGAATTCTTTATGGTTTCTGGTTTTAAAAGATGTCGTGGAATCTTAATAGTGTTGTCGCAAGCTACCTAACGGTGTTGTTGGGCAAACCCGGTTTGGGCATCCATGGCGGTGTAGCTGCATGTGTCGTCAGCACGCTACCATTGGTATGCGCTGTGTCCTGCGCCACCTGCGTGTTTCAGCTGCCTGCACATCCAGTGAGTTGCATTTGGTTCCTTCTGGGCCTTAATGACACAACACTGTTGCCATTTCTCGTTCTTATTAATGGAGACACAATCCTGGTGATGGAATTTAAAGGGCATTTATTTTGCTATTTTATACAAAACGATACAAACCTAATGAATAGGCATACAGTTAATGCCACCCTAGTCCCCATCAGCGTCACGTGGTCTGCATCCTGAAGGGTGAATGGGCATACAGTTAATGCCACCCTAGTCCCCATCAGCATCACGTGGTCTGCATCCTGAAGGGTGAACGGGCATACAATTAATGTCACCCTAGTCCCCATCAGCATCACGTGGTCTGCATCCTGAAGGGTGAGCAGGCATAGAGTTAATGCCACCCTAGTCCCCATCAGCATCACGTGGTCTGCATCCTGAAGGGTGAGCAGGCATACAGTTAATGCCACCTTAGTCCCCATCAGCGTCACGTGGTCTGCATCCTGAAGGGTGAGCAGGCATACAGTTAATGCCACCTTAGTCCCCATCAGCGTCACGTGGTCTGCATCCTGAAGGGTGAGTGGGCATACAGTTAATGCCACCCTAGTCCCCATCAGCGTCACGTGGTCTGCATCCTGAAGGGTGCATGCACCTGATTTTCGTTATTCAGAATCTGTTCGTTGTACTAGGTGATACTTTTCTGGGGATTCTGCTTAATTTATGAACTTGGGCATGACCATAGGGTATTAGTGAATATTAAAATTAAGCAGGTTTTGCACAAAGAGGTGCTTACTACACTGCAAAGTGTATAGAAATGACTGGTAGTTACATTTAATCTGTGTGGCCAGGTCATCTGGTCAGATTGGGCAAAGCAGAAAAATCCTTTTTTCACTCTTCATTTCCTTGGTAGTTTGTTCTGAAATAGTCTATTTCTAATCAGTTTTTTTTCATTTCTCCTTTCAGAGAAAATGGGGTTAATCATCTTTTAAAAAGGCATCCACCTTTGCTTCACCTCCCGCTTGTAGAGCTCCTGCCTCATCACCTTTTGGGTTTCCCAGGACTTACTGCTGGGGGTGACCTTCGTGTCCCGATTTGTTTCCTTCCTGCCCCTTGGTCGGCTCTTTCTACAGCCTTCCCCTCTCCTGGCACTGCAGAGGTTGCACTTTCAGCACTGGACTTCTGCGGGTGGTGTGTTTGACTCACTCACTGACCGGGATGTGGCCTGTCCTTACTGGTGTGGATCCCTTTCATCTTAGTGTTGTCTGGCCGACTGTTGTCTGATCAAAGCCTCTAACACTTGGTGTCTGGCAGCCATTGTCTCTTTTGGCTTGCTGGAGAGGTTCCGCGTGTTGTCTCAGATAACAGGCATCTCCTTATTCAGAGAACTTGGTGACTTTCCGTGAAGTTCTCACGTCCAGAGCCCGGCCCTCTCTTTTCTCACCTTCACCTGTCGAGTGTCTCTGCCGAGTTAGCGAGTCTTCTCTCTGCTGCATTGCCTTCTGGATTTTGTGTTTTACACATTGTCTTGTCTACATGGAGGAGGAAGAGGCCTCCTCTCTTTTGGCATTGCCCTCGGACGCTAGCTGAGGGCTGGGCTCTGGACCCTGAGGCCTGTGGGTGTGTTGTGAGGACTGGCTCTCAATGCAGGAGTGCTTTTAAAACACTCATGTCAAGTGTGGGCCACAGAGCTAGGGACCCAGACGGTCAGACCCCAAGCCTGAGTGTTTGATCCTGGAGCCCCTGATGCACTACGTGCTACCCAGCCTCTGGTGTCTGGTAAAGGGGGCAGGTGTGTTTGCTTTGGAGAATACAGTGGAATCGCTCAGGTGAAGTGAGATGAATCCTCCGTAGTGTGTTCTTGATTCTACCTTCTGAACTGCTCCTCCCGAGCGGGCATCAGTGCTTTGTGCTCCTGGTCCCCTCCAGTAGGTTCTCTCCTGGGCAGAGTGCGTGCTAGTCCTACGCTGATGTCAACACCCGAGGACAGGGCCCTGCCCAAGAGGAGCCTAGCCTGTGTGTCAGAGAAGTGGACACAGCGCCTGGGCGCCGAGGGGAGGGGCGTCGTCAGACAAGGCTCGTGGTGAGTGGAGAAGCTGGCCTTGGGCGGGCTTCAGGGACTAGCATGGCTCTCAGGCAGACTGGCAGGGGAGAAACAGTGGCCCACGGAGGGATGGTGTGGGAGGCCAAGGCGCAGAGCCTGCACACCAGGCACAAGGCAGGATGGGGCCCGGCAGGCTTGAATCCAAAGTCAGACTTTGCCACAGGAAGTTGTATCTTCAGCACCCACAAGAAGCACTGGGGCTTGAATTTCACGGTGCCAGATGGAGTCAGTACCACTGTCCTGTGACCCTCGGGACTGGGCTGGTGGCCCATGCGCTATGCCTGCAATGAATCCAGAAACCAGGAGGCAGCTGGTGAGGTGGAAGGAAAGGAGGCTTCACTGCAGCCTCAGCCACACGCACACAGGTTCCCCATCCCGTCTGGCCCTGCGACCCTTGGTCACACCTCTATTCTCCATTCTCGTGGGATGCCACACAGCTGCTGGACTATGCTCTCAGGATGGAGTGTGTGCATGTCACCAGCTAGCCTGTAGCCTGAGACCTGTTTGCGCTCATTGCACTTGCTTTGTGATCAAGAGACTGATTAGGAGCTGGCCCTGTGATGTAGTGGTTAAGTTGGCATGCTTTGCTTTGATGGCTCC